ATCATTACTGTTAAAAACTTTAATGTACAATGTTGCTTCACTGAGGCTTTTCTTGAATCCTAACTTCAGTAAATGATCATCAATTCTGGAATTCCACACTCTGGGAGCTTGTTTTAATCCATACAAAGCCTTCTTGAGTAGATAGACTTTGCCTTCATGTCCCTTGGTAACAAAACCATCAGGTTGTTCAATGTAGATCTCCTCCTCAAGATAACCATTCAAGAAGGCAGATTTGACATCAAGTTGGTATATTTTCCAACTTTGTTGAGTTGCTAAGGCTAATAACAGCCTTATAGTGTCCAACCTTGCAACTGGAGCAAATGTCTCTGAAAAATCAACACCAAGCTGTTGGGAGTAGCCTTTAGCTACCAATCTAGCTTTAAGTTTGTTGATGGAACCATCAGCATTCAACTTTGTTCTGAAAATCCATTTGACACCAATGATGTTTTTGTTACTTGGTCTGTCAACCAGCATCCATGTTTGATTTTTCTCAATCATTTGAATCTCCTCCTTCATGGCATTTCTCCACTCTGAAAATTTGACAGCTTCTTCAAAGCTTGCAGGTTCAAGAATGGCAACATTTGATCTTTGATAAATATCTGTGAGTGGTCTGATTCCTCTCACTGGTTCATGATCAATGATTTCATTTTCAAACATATAATCTTCTTGTTCTTGGAAGCTTATCATGTCTGCAGCAATTTGCTTGACTGATTCTCCCTTTGATTTTTCCCAATTCCAAGCAGCTTGCTCATTAAATCTCACATTCCTACTTACAATCATCTTGCCTGTAAGTGGATTGTAAGTCCTATAGCCTTTGGTGATGTTGCTGTAGCCCAAAAAAATACATATTTCTGCTTTTTGATCAAGCTTGTCCTTTTTGATATCAGGAACAAACACATAACAGATGCTGCCAAAAATTCTGAGGTGGTGCACTGATGGTTTGCTTCCATTCCAGGTTTCAAAAGGAGTGTTTCCCTTCAAAGCTTTTGTGGGCAGCCTGTTGAGCAAGTAGACAGAGGTATTGACTGCCTCTGCCCAGAATTTCTTTGGAAGATTCTTCTCAAACAGCATGCATCTTGCCATCTCCATGATTGTTCTATTCTTCCTTTCACTGACTCCATTTTGTTGTGGAGTGTAAGTTGCTGTCAGTTGGTGTTCAATTCCTGCAACTTCACAAAACTCATTAAATCTGTCAGATGTGTATTCAGTACCATTGTCTGACCTTATGATCTTGATTTTGCAACCACTTTGATTCTCAATCCAAGCCTTGAACTTCCAAAATACATTTGCAACTTCAGACTTTTGTTTCATGAAGTAAATCCAACACATTCTAGTAAAGTCATCTATAAAAGCAATGAAATATCTACTGCCATTCAAGGACAAGGTTCTCATAGGACCACAAACATCAGTATGAACAAGTTGTAATCTTTCAGTTGCCCTCCATGCTTTGTTAATTGCAAATGGTAACTTACTTTGTTTTCCTAGTTGACAGACTTCACACACTCCAACACTGACTTCAACAGTAGGCATGTTTAATACAAGATCATTTTTATGCATGAAATTCAATGCATTGTAGTTGAAATGTCCCATCCTTTTATCCCATAAAGAAGATTCATCATGTGAAGTAGCATATGCAGAGGAGTTTGCTTCATGCCAATTCAAGGAAAAACATTTTCCTTTCATATTAACAGTAAAGAGTTCATGGCCAGTGGGATCATAAATTATGCATGCCTTGTCTTTGAAGACTAAAGAGTAGTTATTTTCTAGCAACTGTCCTACACTTAACTGGTTTTGATCTATTTTGGGCACAAATAACACATCTGAAATGAGTTTGGTACCTGTTGGTGTCTCAATTGCCACTACTCCTTTTCTTTTGACTTCTATGAAATCACCATTACCTATTCTGACTTTAGAGGTGCAGGTCTTGTCTAGTTCTTTGAATATGTTGATATCAGATGCCATATGGTGTGTGCAACCACTGTCAATGAGCCATGCACTGGAGGAGGTTCTGGTTCCATAGCAAGTTGCAACAAAAACTTGCTCTTCTAGCTGTTGTTGATTGTCAGCAACTCTGGCTTGTTGATCTGGCTGCTGCTGTTTTTTGCTTTTACATACCTTCTCCATGTGACCAAGCTGCTTACAGTACCTACATTGTATGTTAGGTTTGTACCGGCAATATTTCTCCAAGTGAGTAGTCTTTTTGCAGTGAGAGCATGGTGGAAATTTTCCTTTCTTTTCACTGTTTCTAGAACCTTGGTTTCTTTGGTCTCCTTGTTTTCTGCCTTTGCTTTCTGTTTGCATCTTGCCTTTCTCCTTGGCTGTAAAAGCACCTTCTGTTGAATCCTCTTGTCTGATAGCCCTTCTTTGCTCTTGAGCTTGTAGAGCATTGAACAATTCTGCTGGAGTTATCTTGGTCAGGTCCTTAGAGTCTTCAAGGGATGAGATTTTTTGACTCAAACCTCTCTGGTAAGCTGTCAAGAACCTTTCTCTACAATTCTTTTGTCTGACAGCTCCTCACCAAGTAATCTAATCTTGTTTACTATCTTCATGAGTCTGTCATTGTACTCCTTTAAATTTTCAGACTCCTTCATCTTTAAGACTTCAAACTCTCTTCTAAGATTCAACACTTGCATTTGTCTTGTCTTGTCACTGCCTTGAAACTGCTTCCTTGAGCACATCCCAAGCTTGGTTTGTAGTTTCACAAGTCATGATTCTAATGAATATGTCATCAGAAACTGAAGACTCAATACAGCTTTTAGCCTTGTACCTCTTTGCTTTTTTCACTATAATTTTTCATTTGAGTTACTGTTGGATTTGCAGGAAGTTGTGGTGGTTCCTCTCATTTTCCACCACTTCCCACAAATCAAAAGCACTCAAATAAGTCTTCATTTTGACAGCCCATATCTGGTAGTTTTCACCAGAAAAAATAGGAGGGTGGAGGTAAGGAGCAATTGCTTAAGGCCATTTAAGGTTGACAAAGGCTGGCTGGAAGTGTTTGATGGCTTTTCACTCAATTTTGGAACTCACAGATCTCTAAGAACTTAAAGAATGCTCCGATAGCATTGAAGGATTTAGAGCGGAGGAAGAACAAACAAAGACAGCAGAACTAATCTGTCCACTTGAAATTAAATTGGCTCATTTGATCATGAGCTTCATTTCATTAATTTATAGGCTTCAAAAATACAAAAGTTGTTGGCCTAACAGCATGGGTCACCATGCACAGACCCATCATTTTACCTAAACTAATTGCTGCCAGAAAGTTTCAGCAGAAATGCCATACTAACTTGCTTCAACCACTAACACACTAATATGCTTCAGTACTAGCATGCTTCAACACTAACAGATACTGGTAAGCAACTAGTTTCCTATCCAGAAAGGCTAAAGGATCCTGTGGATTTGTGCAACTTCTGTTGGATTTAAATGATAAACATGACAAGATTATAACTTCAGCATTTAGCAATGACAAGACTTTTCAAAATGCATTAAATTCCTCTTTTGAATATTTCACCAATCTGAATTCTGGGTCTCCAGAATTCATCTCTTTGTTTGTAGATGGCAAGCTTTGAAAAGGTTTGAGGGGTGTTATTGAAGAGGATGTGGAGCTGGCACTTGACAGGTGATGATGCTCTTCCGTTACCTTCAAAGAGAAAGATGTTTTTGAGAAGTATTACAAGCAACACTTGGCCAAAAGGCTTCTTTCAGGGAAGACCATCTCTGATGATGGGAAAGAAGATTGATTGTTAAGCTCAAACAGAATGTGGCTATCAATTTACTTCGAAATTGGAGGATATGTTCACAGACATTGAAGACATCTCAGAATACGATGCAAGGTTTCCACGCAAGTCATAGTTCAGATATAGGGGATGCCCCACATTTTCTGAACAGTTCCTCACTATTGGATCTTGGCCAGCTCAACCCATTACTACATGCAACCTTCCTGCTGAAATTCTGGGCATAAGTGAGAAATTCCGTAATTATTAGATTGGGACCCCATACTGGGCTGAGATTTCTTGGCAAACAAACATGGGGACGGCTGATTTGAAGGCAACCTTTGGTAAGGGCCAGAAGCATGAACTGAATGTTTCCACATACCAGATATGTGTTCTTATGCTCTTCAATAATGCTGATCAACTGAGCTATAAGGAGATCGAGCAGGCCACAGGGATACCAGCCTCAGACTTAAAGAGGTGCTTGCATATGTTAAGCGAAAATGTGTGCTGTGGAAGGAACCTATGAGCAAGGACATATTAACACTGATACCTTTCTTTTCAATGAAAAGTTTACAAGCAAATTCATCAAGGTCAAGATAGGTACTGTGGTTGCACAAAGGGAGTCTGAGACCGAAAATCAAGAAGCTAGGCAGCGAGTGGAAGAAGATAGGAAACCACAGATTGAGGCAGCAATAGTGATGATCATGAAAGCGAGGCGTGTGATGAATCATAATAACATTGTTGCAGAGGTCACAAAACAGCTAAAATCACAGTTTTTGCCCAACCCTGTTGTAATTAAAAAACAAATAGTCTTTCATTGAGCGAGAGTTTTTGGACAGGGATAAAGGTGAAAGGAAATTGTATTGCTGCCTTGCTTAAGAAGAATGTGTGGTTGTCTTCTCTTTGTCAGGGTTTTGTCACCTTTTATTAGTCCTGCTTTGATATCACTCCGAGTTCTTGCCTGGGTCTGTGTAATCTTACCTCTATTTTATAAGTTGACAAATTGTTTCTTGAATTATAGGCAGTTAAGGTGAAAATTTTTTATTAAGCAGAAAGGGTTCTTGAATGTTACTTAGTCCGAGCAAGTTTTTTAGTAGAGGAGAAAGGTGATATTAATGGTATATAACTATTGATCTAACTTAGTATGCATGTATATATGCTTTTTTTTAATGTGTCCTGTTTTTGCTTCGCGGCAAAGATTTATCAAAAAAAAAAAAAAAACACATTTTAGCAAATTCGAGAATTTCTCAAATGGTGACTATGAAAGGGAAAAAAATAAGGACTAAAAGGATGAAACTGGAAATGCATCTTATTCATCAGTTTATTGAAACAAGACATGACTTGCCAGACATCAACAATGTGACGGAATTTGTCATGCACCTTCCATGTGCATCTCACTGTTCACCAGTTGCAGCAAAGAGATTGTTCGAAGGGGGTTCCTTAATGATCTTTGACAAGAAAGAAACTCTCGGGCGACCTGTTTCATCGTTGGCCTGAATTTTGGATCGGTATGTACACATGCTAATGCTATGGTAGCAACATGAACAATATTCTGCGCGACCATCTGGCTTGTTGGAGGTGAGAGACGTGGATCTAACATATCGGATAGCATTATATTTTGCAAAGATGATGGTTTTGACACCATTGATAAAAGTTCTCCAGGATGTTTTCCCATCAATGTTTCCAATGCCAGAACTCCAAAGCTAAAAACATCACATTTTTCTGTTACAACCATTGTATAGGCAAGTTCTGCATAAACAAACGATGCACATTAAAATATCTAAAAAAATGCATTTAGTTTGAATGAATGTGGGAATGTGCAACAAGTAGAATATCTAACAATCATTAATCATATGACAGAAATTTAATAATGAAGACGAATTTAATTTGAAAATAACTATAGAGTTTAAACAAGTGGGATAATAACTTTAAGAGTTAAGACAATTGATATCCAACAAATCTAAATTTGAATCCAGCACCTCCAACACTTGTTTTTATCCGAAGCTACGGCCTCTTATATATATAAAATAATACAAAAAAAAAAAAATCCTTAAGACAATTAGTAAATGAAGTAGTAGAGATAGCATCACCTGGAGCAACGTAGCCACAAGTGCCAACAAGCCTGGTTATATTTGAAGAATCAGGGTCTAGGATTCTAGCAGTACCAAAGTCAGAGACAAAAGCCTCCGAGTCTGAGTCTAAAAGAATGTTGTTACTTGATATGTCTCTGTGAACTATTATCGGTGTGCATTCATAATGCAAGTAAGACAAAGCATAAGCTGTGCTCTTGATGATGTTAACTCTTTTGGTCCAATCCAATTCCACAGCTTCACCATCATCACTTAAGACGCAAAACAAGCTTCCTCTTTCCATGTATTGGTAAATCAAAAACATGCATCTTTTGTGTAGACAATAACCAAGTAGCTTCACAATATTCCGATGTCGAATTTCTGTCAAAATTTTTATCTCATTTTTTAAACTCCTATCGAAAGCCGGTTCTTCTGCTTCAAGACGATGAAGCTTCTTTAAGGCCACCACTTTGCCACTAGGTAACTGTGCTCTGTAAACACTTCCATAACCACCAGTTCCAATGCAGTATCGGATGTCAAAATCATTTGTTGCTGCTATGATGTCTTCATATGCTAACTTTCCATCATAGTTCCATATCGAGAACAGATCTCCATTCTTAGGTGTTTGCACTGTAATTGGGTTGACCTTGGCCTTATACCTCAACAATAATGAACACCCAAAAATACAAACAGCAATGAATACGGAAACAGGAAGAAATATTAGGAGTTGGAGATTGTGACTCTTCTTCATTGAAGAATGGGGTGGTGGAGAACATGAGTAGGGTGCTAAATTTTTGTTGCCACCAAATGCATTGGCATCAATTTCCTAACAGTTAGAGTTGAAGTAATTAATATTTGTTAACCAAAGAGGACTATATGGAACAACTCCTGAGAGATCATTGTTTGTGAGATCTACTAGACGTAGAGAAGAAAGGTTTCCAATTTGATCAGGAATGGGACCTTGTAAATAGTTGCTGTGTAGCTGTAACTCTTTTAAAGCCAGGCAATTACCAATTTGAGACGGAATGGATCCACTCAACTGGTTTTCTGAGAAGTCCAATGACGTCAGTGCATACAATTTTCCGATTTGGGGCGGAATGGATCCACTCAACTGGTTTTTAGACAAGTCCAACAAAGTCAATGCTTTCAAGTTCCAAATTTCCTCCGGTATTGCACCTTCTAAAAGATTTGAATTAAGGGAGAAAACACGCAAAGTCTGCAAATCTCCAATTTTTGAAGGTATAGACCCGTCGATTATGTTGAAGCTAAGAAGCAATTCTTCCAGCTTGTGTAAATAACCAAAAGTGGGGGGGATTGGCCCAATGAGGTTGTTTTCAGACAAACACAAGTAAACCAGATTCTCAAGGTTTTTTATTTCTCAAGGTATGGAACCTTTGATTAGATTTGTGGCAAGGTTAAGATATTTCAGTTTTCTCAAATGATTCAAATTGGATAATGGACCAAGAATGGAAGAAATGGAGCCATCAAGCATGTTATTAGACACATTCAGGGTCACTAAATTGGTTAACTGACCAAGAGAAGGAATTGAACCGACAAGCACATTAACCGGACAGATCTAGAGTCACCAAATTCTTTAACTTCCCAATCTCTACCGGGATGGATCCATTGATATGGTTTCCATGAAGAGACAAGGACATGATATTGGTTAGCCGACCAAAAGAAGGTGGTATTGGACCAACTAGTCCGCAATAACTCAAGTCTAGAGTCATTAAAGCCTCAAAATTCCCTAATTCTGGGGGAATGGGCTGGTTTAATTGATTTGAGATCATATGCAGGTGGCTAAGATTGTTGTTCAAAAGAGGAAAAGATGGCGGAAACAGTTGTTCAATTTTGTTCCCAGTCAAATTTAAAATGGCGAGATTCTTCAAATTCCATATCTCTAAAGGGATGGAACCCATAATGTATTTGTTATATGAAAGATCAAGAGACTGTAATTGGGTGAGATTGCCAAGCTGAGGAGATAACTCACCAAATAAATAATTGTTGGACAAGTCGAGGTGCACTAATGTTGATAGATAGCCTATGCTGGACAAAATGCTCCCAAGGTCGTCCATGCTCCCGAGGACTTCTTGACCACTAAGACTGAGAAAAACAAGGTTCGGAAAGCAGGAGAAGTCCATATTTTCAAATTTAACACCAACCTTAATAACATCAGAAGGTGGGTACATTTTTGAGACGCTACCAGCGTCATTGCATGAGATACCTGCCCAGTTGCAACGCTGCAAAGTATCGTTGCTGCAGCTACTCCACCAACCACTCTCAAGTAGAGCCTTTGCCTCTAGTTCTAGTGACGAAGTTGTGGCAACTTCAGCTGCAGCATAGGAAAAAAGGACGATAGTCCATACCATTATCAGTATGAAAGCTGTAATATTAGTCGAGGCCATGTTTAAGTTCAAATATGAGAAATTGTTCCTTTTTGTTGAATGTTAATTTCCAGACTAACGAACTTAAAGAAGTTTATTTCCAAAGTCAAGATCTTCTACCTTTCGAAGGGGGTCAGGGAACACGTTTTCCATGTACTGTTCAGCTTTCCGTGGTCTTTACTTCAATTTGTCTTCTTTGCAAAACTTTCTGTGAATCTTCTTACCGTATAGACCCATTCTATCTAACGCACATTATCTAGCAAATGTGGTTCCAGGATGCATCCTGGCCGCTTGGATCCAAAGTGAATCCAAAAACTCAGTCCTCTGTCAATGACTGCTGTATTTTCTTAGGCTTAATTTCGATGGGGTCCAGTGTGGTGAGAACTGGGAGGTGCACTGACCCCCACTATCGAAATCAAGCATTTAAGAGCAGACTCAAGGAAGCATTTTGAATCTAACTTTCCACGAGCATTCCTATAATCATAATCAGGAGTAACTACAGGAAATACTTGTCTATTACTTTCATTGACTGCTTATTTGCAAATAGAAAACAGAACAGATTGGATCACACTGGAGAATTATTGCTCTGATGGCGTAGACAAAGATTCATTATACCGTGTTTTGGTGCATATTATTCTACACTTTATTACTTTTGTTTTCCTATTTCTAGACTTTTCAGTTCGTGTTCACTCTGTCCATACCAAGTAACAACTTCATAGATTTCCAATTCTATGTTTTGGTTCCTTTAGGACAAGCCCCAATCAATCAATCAATTAATCAGTCATCCAGCAAAAGGAGCAAATCGAACAATAAAATTGTTATGAACTCTTAAAAGTGGACTTGTGACTAAACTTTACTGATTAACAATGCTTATTGCCTCTTGGGGTTATACAACCAGAATGATTAATCAGGTCAGACTCACGGTGAGTTTTTGATTTTGAAGCTTGATTTTTAGATTTTGGAAAAGAAAATTGACAAAAAAGGAAAAAAATGAGTGCTCAGAAGACAAAGTTTAAGCATAGGGTGGTGGTTGATCCAACATATGCAGACAAGTCATGGACTGTTCTGGAACATGCGATTCATGAAATTTATAATCATAATGCTACCGGACTTAGCTTTGAAGATCTTTACAGGTTGGATTTTTTTCTTTCCTTTTTTCTATTTTTAGAATTTTTGATGTGATTTTGTTTTATATATGTTTCTATTGGTTGAGTATATTGATTGTGAGGTGAAATTTATTTGTACAAGATCCCAATGATGCTGCGAGTTTTAATTTTATTATTATTTTTGCATAATTTAAAAAATTAAAATATAAAAAACAGAATAAAATATAATAACAAATTGTCATTTAAGAATAATAAGTAAAAGTTCACATAATTGTGAGTTTTTTCTTTTCCTCATGGGTGGGGGGTGTGGCACATTAATCAGCAGCATCAATGATTGCTTGTTTGGTTCAAGAAAAAAGGACAAAAAGATGATAATGTCGTCACCATATCCATAAATCAAAAGATCAACAATGCACATATCACGCAATAGCAAACCATATGTCAATTGCATCTTTGATGGGTAATATACTAACCAAATGCTAGGAATGCCTCTTTTGCTCAGGACTGCTAGAGAGAGACTCTTTCAGCACCTGTAGTTTTGCCAAAGCATCAGCAATATTTCAGCACCTGTACATTGAATCAATGCCATTTGCAAATGCAACAGAATTAAGGTTTTAAGGATTTTCTTCAAATGAATGATATACTACAGTATACTTTAAAATCAAAATAAAAAGTGTAAAAAAAAATCATAATAATGATACTTCTCATATCCATATAACTTGAACAATACAAAATAAAAAAGTTTATCTTTTCAACAATCAATAATAATTCATTAATCAATCAATTAAGGTTATAAAGGAATGTACCTTAATTTTGCAATCACAACTTGTTCTTTGGAAACGAATTGCAACATGCCTGATCATTTGATAAAAGAAATGTATGACATATTGCAATGCTACATAATTTGGAGGGAAGCTTATTAAAAAAATCAACTAATATAGACTGGTTTCAATATAGTTTAAAAAATAAAATTCATTATATGATTATGTATGTAGTCAACAATCTCTGCAATCTAAAACATGTAAATTGAGGAAGTCATTTCAATTACACAGAGAAATTGAAGATAATCCCAATTAGAATTGGGTCATTAGATGGGTGGGAAAGAAACTCTTTCATATAATAGAAGCAAAAACATTAATTTGTATTCCACATATATTAAATAAATTGCCATAATAGACTATGATAAATAGTTTAACAATTGGAAAAACAAAATTTCTTTTCACTTGAATGTCAAAAAATAGATTTTAGCTACTCAAAGATTCATTTACAGTCAAAGAGCATGAAGAACTATATTAAAACCTTAAAACATGAAGCCATACTCAATTACCTCTCACCTTAACTATCTTAAGTTCTTTAACAATTGTTCTAACTAACCATATGTACTGCTTATAAGATATCTATATTTACAAACGATATGAATTCGATGCCATCTAATCCATATGTAGGTACCAACCATTGAAGTGAAAAGTCATCTTCAAGCATATTTTTAAGAAATATAAGTGCTTGTACAGGAAATTATAAAGAGAAAAAATAATTCTATCAATAAAGAGAAGATCATACTTCAACATAAAGTGTAGTATAATTCTAATTCTTTTTTCTTTTATTGCTAGTCACATGAGTAACTGAAAATTAGTACGCAATGCAATTCTGGTTAAAATTGAAAACAAACAATATGAAAATTAAGATAAAAAGTAGTTTTATCTTATTTATAATCATTGAGATCTCCTAGAATGTTACTTTGACAAAAAAGTTTAGAAATAAAGCAAAATTAAAAGAATCAAAGAAAACATAACAATATTTTTATTTCTTAACAGGGCAAAATCAATCTCAATTGCAATTTTTTAAAAAAAAATTTCTAAAATGAAGGGAAACAATAGACTTCCGTAAAATCCATCACACTTTTGAAAATAGTTAAATAAGTCTCTTCCATCATCATGGTTTGCAGATTTACATCTCCTATTTCTTGTTTAGACGTCCTCATTTCGCCTCATGGTTTTTCATTTACTTTTTGAGAAATTAAGGTTTTATTCACTTTTGCCCATACTTCTTCCATATTGTCTTGCCTAATATTTCTATATCCATATGATATCTATAAATAACCTTACCTCAAGATGCTTTTCCACCCCACAATCATGCCTACTGTCACAAAAAATGTCTTCTATCCCAGGACTCCAGTTGCTTAAACTCCCCAAACTCACAATAACTTCTTGAATTCTTCATTTCAGATTGACAGAATCCTTTTCTCTCCGTAGGGGTGGAAATGTTTTTTCTCGAAGAAGGTTTCGAGTCAACAAATTTAGCTTTTCACTTTTTCTTTTTCGGATTATGGTCTCATGATTCTTTATCATCTTTTCAACATAATGACTGCCATCATCTTCTAAATCCCCATCGTAGGGCTGCTTGATTGTACATGCTTCTTCAACCTTCAAGGAGAAATTGCTGGAATTGCCAAAACTTTCACCTTCCTGTAAACATCTCCCTTTTCGCTTTTCGTGAACCCTTAGCCTTTAAACTTTTCACTTGAACCTTATCCTGATTACCAAGAAGCTCAAGCTTATTATTAAGGCAAGTCATCTCTCTCATCACATCAAATTAATGCTTCTAAAATCGAGACTTGCATCTTTATCTTTTTCACTTCCTCTTCAAATTTCTTTCAAAAATCTTTCAAAGAGCCTTAATCACAATAGCAGTTGTACCTTTCTTTATGTTCCACATCCATTGACACTATAGGCCCAAGCTCAGATAAGAAATTGTATTATGTATCTTACAAAAGACAAGATCCAAATTCTCCCTTAAAATGCCAATATAGAATAGATTACAGGTCAGCCAATGAATACATGAAGGGCGGCATAATTATCAATCTTTTTCGTTTTATTGCTAATCACATGACAATTTGAAAATGAGTAAACGATACAATAGTAACAAGCAATGAAAACAAACAATAGAAAATTATACTATAAAGGATATCGAAAACAGAAAGAGATAAAAAAAACCTAGATGATATTGTAACAGAGTCATCATACAAAAGAAGTACTTTTATCTCATTTATCATCATCGGAATGCCGTAAAACGTGAAAATTATAAGAAAAAATTTGGAAAAACTTGTGGAATTAAAAGGATAAAATTGTGAATTAGCTGGAATTGCTTTTCTTGGTCATTTTTCCGCTGTAATCAATTGAAAATAAAAAAAAAAAATCAAGAAATTTCAGTAATATGGAACAAATATAATTTGATTTTAAAACATGATTTAAAATGGATTGGGTAAGAAAACTTACGTGAATCAAAGACTCCGATATTTACAATAATCGAAGAAACTTTATTTGTGATGATGCTGATTAACTCGATACGAAAAGGAAGAAAGTTTTGGGTCTCTCTGGAATGAAAGCAAATCAACAAACTGAACTGGAAAATAGATCGAAAATAAGTTTGTTTCAAGGGAATTGAAAGAGTTTTTGGTAAGCTGACCCTTCCTTAATTGTGAAATAAATCCGTTTCAGCATTTTTTTTTTGAGGAAATCAAAAGAAAATTTACAAAATCAATAAAAGATGGGAGCCAAAAGGATCCAAGATTTTAAATGAAGTCAAAAATTTTCCCCCTTGAATGATTTATTGAATGGAAGGGAAAAAAAAAAGGAATTGAAATCGGAAGGAAATCAAGGGAAAATTTTCAACAAAATATGGGGAAGCTAAAAGGTAGAAGGTATTTAATGAGATGCAAAATTCTTCTCCTTAAACGATTGATTTAATGGAAGAAATGGGGAAAAAAGAAGAATTAAAAATGGAAAAAGGGCGTTTGAGTTTTTACACAATTAAAAAGAAGTTTTATTCAAAGAACAAAAGTTTAAACAAAAAATACACGTGGCACAAGATCCTGCAGATAAAAATAACATTGTTTATTGTTAGATTTTACTTTAATTTTGTGATAAATTGCTGGTAATAATGTTTTGAATAATTGAGAATTTAAATGTAACTCTTGAGAAGGAAGGTGAGTTGAGTAATCCACATATTAGGCAATGACGAGTTGCCAAGACACTGAAATTGTTAAGTTTCTTACTCTATTGTCTATAGAATTAAGGCTCTAGTGTTCAAATGCCAGCAACATCTATACATATGGAAAAAATATGTAGTAAGTAGCTTGTTGGTAGTAATTGGAGTGATGAATTATCGGTGGTACAGTAAGCAGTTGGGTTCTGAATTTGAACTTTGCATTACCTTCTTGGAAATTGAAATTTGAAAATGGTGTGGAAAGTGTTGCCATTAATGGTATTGTGTGACTTGTACATCCAGAAGCTGAAGGCTGATGACCCTAGCAAACAGAGCTTGAGTTTGATAGCTGTCTCACATTACTTGGACACCAGAAGTGAAATCAAAATAACAAATGTGGTAGAAAAGGAGATGAGTCATATGCACAGGCTTGTGCAAATGGAGAACTCGGGCTTGGTTAATATGATTGTTGATGACAAATATAAAGACCTAGGAAGGATGGATTGCTTGTTTCGTCGGGTACCCAATGGGCTTGTTTTAATCAGAGATGCCATGACTTCATGCATTCATGATACAGGTAAGCAGCTAGTTACCGATCAAGAAAGGCTAAAGGATCCGGATTTTGTGCAACTTCTGTTGGATTTAAAGGATAAACATGACAAGATTATCACTTCAGCAATTAGCAATGACAAGACTTTTCAAAATGCATTAAATTCCTCTTTTGAATATTTCACCAATCTGAATTCTAGGTCTCCAGAGTTCAACTCTTTGTTTGTAGATGACAAGCTTCGAAAAGGTTTGAGGGGAGTTACTGAAGAGGATTTGGAGCTGGCACTTGACAAGGTGATGATGCTCTTCCGTTACCTTCAAGAGAAAGATGTTTTTGACAAGTATTACAAACAATACTTGGCCAAAAGGCTTCTTTCAGGGAAGCCCTGATGATGCGGAAAGAAGATTGATTGTTAAGCTCAAAACAGAGTGTGGGTATCAATTTACTTCGAAATTGGAGGGTATGTTCACAGACATGAAGACATCATAGGATACGATGCCAGGTTTCCACCCAAGTCATGGTTCAGATATATGGGATGGCCCCACACTTTCCTGGCCTCACTACTGGATCCTGGCCAGCTCAACCCATTACTGCATGCAACCATCCTGCTGAAATTCTGGGCAAAAGTGAGAAATTCCGTAATTATTACCGTGGGACCAATAATGGGCGGAGATTATCTTTGCAAACAAAGATGGGCACGGTTGATTTGAAGGCAACATTTGGTAAGGGTCAGAAGCATGAACTGAATGTTTCCACATACCAGATGTGTGTCCTTATGCTCTGCAATAATGCCGGTCAACTGAGCTATAAGGAGATCGAGCAGGCCACAGGGATACCAGCCTCGGACTTAAAGAGGTGCTTGCAGTCACTTGCCTGTGATAAGGGAAAAAATGTGCTGCGGAAGGAACCTATAAGCAAGGATATAGCTGACACTGATACCTTTCTTTTCAATGACAAGTTTACAAGCAAATTCTTCAAGGTCAAGATAGGCACTGTGGTTGCACAAAGGGAGACCGAGCCTGAAAATCAAGAAACTAGGCAGAGAGTGGAAGAAGATAGGAAACCACAGATCGAGGCAGCAATAGTGGGGATCACGAAAGCGAGGAGTGTGATGAATCATAATAACATTGTTGCTGAGGTCACAAAACAGCTACAGTCTCGGTTTCCGCCCAACCCCGTTGTAATTGAAAAACGAGTAGTGTCTCTTATTGAGCGAGAGTTTTTGGGGAGGGATAAAGGTGACAGGAAATTATATCGCTACCTTGCTTAAAAAGAATGTGTGATTGTCTTCTCTTTGTCAGGATTTTGTCTCCTTTTATTAGTCCTGCTTTAATTTCACTCCGAGTTCCTGCCTGGGTCTGTGTAATCTTACCTCCATTTTATAAGTTGACAGATTGTTTCTTGAATTATAGGCAGTTCAGGTGAATTTTTTTTATTAAGCAGAAAGGGTTCCTGAATTTTACTCGGTCCCAGCAAGTTTTTTAGTAGAGGAGAAAGGTGACATTAATGGTATAGGACTATTGATCTAACTTAATGTTGTATGTATGTTTTTCTTAATGTGTCCCCATTTTTGCTTCGCGGCAAAGATTTATCAAAAAAAAAAAAACACATTTTAACAAATTGGAGAATTTCTCAATTGCTGAATATGAACGGGAAAAAAATAAGGACTAAAAAGATGAAACCGGAAATGCATCTTATTCATCAGTTTATTGAAACAGGACATGACTTGCCAGATGTCAACAATGTGACGGAATTTGTCATGCACCTTCCTCGCACATCTCACCGTTCACCAGTTGCAGCAAAGAGATTGTTCGAAGGGGGTTCCTTAATGATCTTTGACAAGAAAGAAACTCTCGGGTGACCTGTTTCATCGTTGGCCGGAATTTTGGATCGGTATGGACACATGCTAATGCTATTGTAGCAACATGAACAATATTCTGCGCGACCATCTGGCTTGTTGGAGGTGAGAGACGTGGATCTAATACATCGGATAGCATTATATTTTGCAAAGATGATGGTTTTGACACCATTGATAAAAGTTGTCCAGGATGTTTTCCCATCAATGTTTCCAATGCCAGAACACCAAAGCTAAAAACATTACATTTTTCTGTTACAACCATTGTATAGGCAAGTTCTGCATAAACAAACAATGCACATTAAAATATCTAAAAAAAAAAATGCATTTATTTTGAATGAAAGTGGGAATGTGCACAAGTAGAATATCTAACAATCATTAATCATATGACAGAAATTTAATAATGAAGATGAATTTAATTTGAAATTAACTATAGAGTTTAAACAAGTGGGACAATAACTTAAGAACTAAGACAATTGATATCCAACAAATCTAAATTTGAATTTTAGCACCTGCAGCACTTGTTTTTATCTGAGCCTATGGCCTCTTATATATATAAAATAAATAAAAAAAAATCCTTAAGACATTTAGTAAATGAAGTAGTAGAGATAGCATCACCTGGAGCTACACAGCCACAATTGCCAACAAGTCTGGTTATATTTGAAGAATCAGGGTCTAGGATTCTAGCAGTGCCCAAGTCAGAGACAAAAGCCTCCAAGTATGAGTTTAAAAGAATGTTGTTACTTGATATGTCTCTGTGAACTATTATTGGTGTGCATTCATAATGCAAGTAAGACAAAGCATAAGCTGTGCTCTTGATGATGTTAACTCTTTTGGTCCAATCCAATTCCACAGCTTCACCATCATCACTTAAGACGCAAAACAAGCTGCCTCTTTCCATGTATTGGTAAATCAAAAACATGCATCTTTTGTGTAGACAATAATCATGTAGCTTCACAATATTCCGATGTCGAATTTCTGTCAAAAATTTTATCTCATTTTTGAAACTCCTATCGAAATCCGGTTCTTCTGCTTCAAGACGATGAAGCTTCTTTAAGGCCACCACTTTGCCACTAGGTAACTGTGCTCTGTAAACACTTCCATAACCACCAGTTCCAATGCAGTATCGGATGTCAAAATCATTTGTTGCTGCTATGATGTCTTCATATGCTAACTTTCCATCATAGTTCCATATCGAGAACAGATCTCCATTCTTAGGTGTTTGCACTGTAATTGGGTTGACCTCGGCCTTATACCTCAACAATAATGAACACCCAAAAATACAAACAGCAATTAAAACGGAAACGGGAAGAAATATTTGGAGTTGGAGATTGTGACTCTTCTTCATTGAAGAATGGGGTGGTGGAGAACATGAGTAGGGTGCTAAATTTTTGTTGCCACCAAATGCATTGGCATCAATTTCGTAACAGTTAGAGTTGAAGTAATTACTATTTGTTAACCAACGAGGACTATAGGGAATAACTCCTGAGAGATCATTGTTTGTGAGATCTACTAGACGTAGAGAAGAAAGGTTTCCAATTTGATCAGGAATGGGACCTTGTAAATAGTTGCTGCTTAGCTTTAACTCTTCTAAATCCAGGCAATTACCAATTTGGGGAGGAATGGATCCACTCAACTGGTTTTGAGACAAGTCCAACAAAGTCAATGCTTTCAAGTTCCCAATTTCCTCCGGTATTGCACCTGCTAAAAGTTTTGAATTAAGGGACAAAACACGCAAAGTCTGCAAATCTCCAATTTTTGAAGGTATAGACCCGTCGATTTCGTTGAAGCTAAGAAGCAACTCTTCCAGCTTGTGTAAATAACCAAAAGTGGAGGGGATTGGCCCAATGAGGTTTTTTCCAGACAAACACAAGTAAACCAGATTCTCAAGGTTTTTTTATTTCTGAAGGTATGGAACCATTGATTAGATTTATGGCAAGGCTAAGATATTTCAGTTTTGTCAAATGATTGAAATTGGATAATGGACCAAAAAACACGTTGTTTGATAGATCGATGGTGACCAAATTGATTAATGAACCAAGAATGGAAGAAATGGAGCCATCAAGCATGTTATTGGACACATTCAGGGTCACTAAATTGGTTAACTGACCAAGAGAAGGAATTGAACCGACAAGCCTATTACCGGACAGATCTAGAGTCACCAAATTCTTTAACTTCCCAATCTCTACCGGGATGGATCCATTGATATGGTTTCCATAAAGAGACAGAGTCATTAAAGCCTCCAAATCCCCCAATTCTGGGGGAATGGAATGGTTTAATTGATTTGAGCTCATGTGCAGGTGGGTAAGATTGTTGTTCAATAGAAGAAAAGATGGCGGAAACAGTTGTTCAATTTGGTTCCCAGTCAAATTTAAAATGGCGAGATTCTTCAAATTCCATAGCTCCAAAGGGAGGGAACCCTTAATATATCTGTTATATGAAAGATCAAGAAACTCTAATTTGGAGAGATTGCCAAGCTGAGGAGATAACTCACCAAATAAACTATTGTTGGACAAGTCGAGGTGCACTAATGTTGATAGATGGCCTATTTTGGAGATAATGACCCCATCGTCATTCATGCTCCCGAAGACTTCTTGACCACTAAGACTGAGAAAAACAAGGTTCGGAAAGTAGAAGTTCATATTTCCAAATTTATCAGCGCCAACATCAGAAGGTGGGTAAATTTTGGTGACGCTACCAGCGTCATTGCATGAGATACCTGCCCAGTTGCAACGCTGCGAAGTATCGTTGCTGTAGGTACTCCACCAACCACTCTCAAGTAGAGCCTTTGCCTTTAGTTCTAGTGACGAAGTTATGGCAACTTCAGCTGCAGCATAGGAAGAAAGGACGATAGTCCATACCAGTATCAGTATGAAAGCTGTACTATTAGATGAGCCCATGTTTAAGTTCAAATATGAGAAAGCGTTCCTTTTTGTTGAATGTTAATTTCCAGACTAACGAATTTAAAGACGTTAATTCCAAAGTCAAGGTCTTCTACCTTTCGAAGGGGATCAGGGAACACGTTTTCCATGTACTGTTCAGCTTTTTCCGAGGTCTTTACTTCAATTTGTCTTCTTTGCAAAACTTTCTGTGAATCTTCTCACCGTATAGACCCATTCTAACTAACGCGCATAATCTAGCAAATGTAGTTCCAGGATGCGTCCTGGCCGCTTGGATCCAAAGTGAATCAAAAAACTCAGTCCACTGTCAATGGCTGCTGTATTTTCTTAGGCTTCATTTCGATGGAGGCCAGTGTGGTGAGAACTGGGAGGTGCACTGACCCCCACTATCCAAATCAAGCATTTAAGAGCAGACTCAAGGAAGCATTTTGAATCTAACTTTCTTCGAGCATTCCTATAATCATAATCAGGAGTAATTACAGGAAATACTTATCTATTACGTTCATTGACTGCTTATTTGCAAATAGAAAACAGAATAGATTGGACCATACTGGAGAATTATTGCCTTGATGGCGTAGAGAAAGATTCATTTTACCGTATTTTGGTGCGTGTTCTTCTAGACTTTATAACTTTCTTTTTTCCTATTTCTAGACCTTAGAAAGGAAGAAAAGTGAGCAGTTAGCGTTCACTTTGTCTATAACAAGTAACAACTTCATAGATTTTCAATTCTATGTTTTGATTTCTGTTAGGAAAAGCCCCAATCAATCAATCATCAAGCAAAAGAGTGCAAATCGAACAATAAATTTAACATGAACTCTTGAAAGTGGACTTGTGACTAAACTTTTACTGATTAACAATACTTATTACCTCTACTGTTGGACAACCAGAAAATATAAAGAAGGCCAGGGCTAGAATCTTGGGTTGGCTCTTCAATCTCCCAAATCTAGGCCCAATAAAATACCTGGACCTAGCTTTCTCCTTCAAGCTCTAGCTTTGCCCTACCTCCCCAAGTCCTACCTGTAATAAAAACCAGTTTAACTTTAGAACTCCTCCCCTAAAAAAGCCGCCGTTTCCAACTTTCTCTCTCTGAGCAGACAGAAACCCCAGAAGTAAACCCTTCCCAAAACCAACAATTCCAACCTCAAAAAGAGAAAAAAAAAATGTCGGCCAAGTGGAGAGCTATACAACATCGCCACCGGTACACTTACAACGCCGTCGTTTTTCCACCTTCCTTCATAGATTCCTTAAACCAATCATCTCTCTCAGCCTCAGGCCCAACCTTCTACAATGAGCTTCAACATCTCATCTCTTTAAACTCGACTTATTCCCAAGTTAATCATGTCAGAAAGGTGGCTTCTTCTTTCAATGAACTCTTAGTAAAAGAAGGTGAAAAAAATGAAGCCTTGGTTTCAACGGCAGCAGCTTTTTACTTGGAAGTTTTCTTTTTGGAGAATTCAATGCCTTTGCATAGAACCCTTTTGTCAGTTTTGGCTAAAACCAAGGATGTTTTTCAGCCTGTTATTGGTGAGTGTTTCAGGTTACTTTGTAATGAGTATGGTACAATTAGTAGCAAGAAGAAGCGTTTTTCTGTGTCACGTGTGGCTTTATCAGTAATGGGAATGCCAAAGTTGGCGTTTTTAGTTGATGTGATTGAAGATTCTGCTGTTTTGGTTTGTTGGGATATTGTTTTGGGGTTAAAAAGTGTGGTTTTGGAGACTGAAGGGTGGGCTAGACCTTCTCCTATAGTTCTGGAGCAGTGTCAGGAGGCACTGTCTTGCTTATATTACTTATTTCAGAAGTTTCCAGGGAAATTTAACTTGGGTGGTGTAGATTCTAATGTGATGGAGATGGCTTTGGGGATTTTGATAAGTCTGTTGAAATCAGTGGCATTTTCGAGGGACTGCTTTGTGGCGGCTTGTGTGAGCTTTTTTGCTGCTTTGCAAGTTTGTCTCAGTGATCAAGAGCTCGGTTTGTTCATCATTGAAGGTATATTTGATCAAATTGTTAGTAGTTCTGGCACTAATAGTGAGGGTTCTTTTAACAATGTTATTAGCAAGATTCCGTATAAGGGATATGTTTGTCTTGATATACGTAATCTCTCTGGGTTGAATAGGCTTTGTATGATTAGAGGCATTCTTACTGCTGTTCCGAGAATGGTTCTAAATGCACATGTTGTTGTATCTAGGGAAATTTTTTATGATTTTGAGTTTCATGGAAATGCTGCTAGTTCTCTGAAGACTATATTGTATGATGGGATTTTGCCTGAGCTGTGTAATTACTGTGAGAACCCCATAGATAGCCATTTTAACTTTCATGCATTAACTGTGATGCAAATTTGTTTGCAGCAGATTAAGACCTCTATGCTGGCAAACCTTGCAAAAGCATCTGAAAATTACAATCCATTGCCGGAAGATATGGGAACCCGACTGCTGAGAATAATATGGAATAACTTGGAAGATCCTCTAAGTCAAACAGTCAAACAAGTTCATCTTATTTTTGATCTTTTCTTAGACATTCAGTCCTCTCTTTGTGGGACAGAGGACAGTGAGAAAATTAAGTCATTCCTACGAAAGATTGCTTCAGATCTTCTTCGTTTAGGGTCACGTTGTAAGGGGAGATATGTTCCTTTAGCTTTGTTGACCAAGAGGTTTGGAGCAAAGACTATGCTGGATATGAGTCCTGACCTGCTGTTTGAAATAGTACAGGCAAACACTGAGGATGATGTATGCTGTGCTGCCACATCATTCTTGAAGTGTTTCCTTGAATATTTGCGTGATGAGTGCTGGAGTAGTTATGGCATTGAAAGAGGATATGTGCTTTATAGAGGACGTTGTTTACCCCCCTTTTTGAACGGTCTTGCTTCTGGGATTTCAAAGCTTCGTTCAAATTTGAACACATATGCTCTTCCAGTTTTACTTGAATTAGATGTTGATGGTATATTTCCTCTGCTTAACTGTATCTCCATTGGGCCAAGTGAGGTGGAAAATGGGCTTTTATATCCTGAGCTTGGTTGCACAAACATGGAACTAAGAGTAGAACAAAAAGTGGCTGTTTTGATCTCCTTGCTTAAGGTGTCTCGCTCACTTGCTTTGATTGAAGGGAATATTGATTTTTATGATGACTCTATGACATCTGATATGGACGGTATGGTGGAAACAAAAAGCTTTAATTTCTATGCACTTGTCTGCATAAAGGGGATAAAAGTTAGGATCCTTGTTGGGTGGCTTGTATTAGCATTGACACACATTGATGAATCACTTCGTGTAGATGCTGCAGAGTTTCTTTTCTTAAACCCCAAGACATCTAGTCTGCCTTCCCGTTTGGAACTTTCTCTAATGAAAAAAGCTGTGCCTTTGAACATGAGGTCCTCTTCAACAGGTTTTCAGATGAAATGGAGCAGCTTGTTTAGGAAGTTCTTTTCTCGTGTGTGCACAGCCTTGGAGAGGCAATTTAAGCAGGGCAGCTGGCAGCCTCGCATGAACCATAAAGGTAGTGAGTTGTGTCTATGTAAGGGAACTGAGGAAAATGCTGTTAGCAGAGCAGAGGAGCTATTTAATTTTATGAGGTGGTTGAGTTGTTTTCTGTTTTTCTCTTGTTATCCTTCTGCCCCTTATAAGAGAAAAATAATGGCCATGGAGCTAATACTGATAATGATCAATATTTGGTCTGTCATACCTTCTTCTCAAGAAAGATCAGCTTCTATTTCTCCTGAGAGCTGTCTTTGTCCTTACAGTGTAGGAATTACTTCACCTGACACGACCTTCCTGTTGGTTGGATCCATAATTGATAGTTGGGACAGGCTGCGAGAAAGTTCTTTCCGCATATTGCTGCATTTTCCCACTCCGCTTCCTGGCATTTCAAGTGAAGAAATGGTCCAGAAAGTAATTAAATGGGCTAAGAAATTGGTTTGCAGTCCACGTGTGAGAGAGAGTGACGCTGGTGCTCTAACTTTGCGGACTGAGTTTGTTTGATCAAATGGTCGTGTTAGCAAATGCAGTCCAAGTGCTCTAACAGGAAGGTCAATCAAAAAACCCATTCGATTGGTTCATGTTTTGAACCATTTTTCACTTAGAAAACTGTCCATGCTGGGCGGTAGTTTTTCGTTTTGTATTCTACTTATTAATTTGATCATAACTTAAGTTATAAAAATTCAAATTACAAACCGTTTTGAAGATTTCGAAACTAGACTTAAAGGTCTTTCTATCCATATAAAATTTATTACATAATTCATTGAGTACGAATTATAGTGAATTTTTAAAGTTATCTCTTGTGCAGTTTTTTTAACAACTGTAAAATGTTTAGTAAAAATTTAAAATCTTTTTTTAAAAAATTTGGATTTTGATTTTGTTTGATCAATTAGAAAGTAGACTTAAAGAGTTTTCCAATCATATAAAATTTAAATATTAAAATTTTGTGAATTAATACAGAAAAATAAAATAAGTTCAATGTTAAAAAACTTTGTTATTGTAAAACAGTTTTCTTAAGTTAATATATTTTTCAAAACCAATATTATAAAAATTGTATTAAGTCCAAAATGAATAAGTTCACTTTAAAAACAATAATTAGACTTTCATTTAAGCTCAAATAAATAATATTTAAAGATAGATTTGGTTTGAGAAATATAAAAACAAAGAAATGTTTGTTTAAGCTTTGAAAATCATATTATTTATTTAGTGTCAAAATATAAAACTTAAGAACATGTACTAAATAAATTTTTTTCAAAATCTTGATCAAGTTTATTTTGCTTTAATATTTTGTCATTTCAAAATAATGATCAATTCAAGGCTAACATACATTCACACATATTTATGCATATATATATTATTTAAGTATTCAAATAAGTATCTTTAAATGTAAGAGAAACATCCAAAGTATTCAAATGAAACCATACAAAAATAGAGCAAAATGCTTTAAAATATAATAAAATAAATAACAATTTATCCATCATTTAAGTTAGCATCATTAAAAGTAAGAGAATTGTTAAAGAATCAACAATCCTTTTTTTTTTCCTAAAAAATAAATAAGCAAACATGATAAATTTTAAAAATATATATGTAATAAAGAAAGGAATCCATTACCTCCTCCTCTTCATGATCCTTTGCTCAATAAAAGTAACATCATGTAATTGGGGATCTGCCATTCAATTAGAATTAGAATTGATTTCATAAATTTCTCCTTCACCAACATGCTTAACAATTGAACCATCCATCAACAAATTAGAAACATTTGCTTCTTATATAGCGTTTCACTTCAAGATCAAACATTTAAACAACTACCATATATAAAATTATATTAATATATATACAAACTTATAAATGTTTCCAAATTAATAGATGCAATTGTAGGTCCTTTCATTTCGCTAATAACAAAATACTCAAAATTGTCATAATCTCTTTGATGTATAGCTCTTTAGTCAAAAACAAAATTAGATCCAATGAGATTGACGTAAAAGATAAGACATAATCATTAGTATTTTCCTTTCAAAATGATAAACAATGATTTACCAAATGAACTAAAGAACATAAGTATAAAAATTTTAGGAGATTAAAAATATGAAACATGTTTTACATTTGATTGAGAAGATACTAATTCATCAATAGTGACATTCAAAAAGTTGGAAACAACATCATTAAATGAGAGAAAGGTTGTAGACCCACTCAAATCTTCAACATCGATATAAATACGAAATCTATAAAACTATATCGATAACAACCAATTAGGACAAAGTGAATTTTTTTTTTAAATGTACACTTTCAATATATTGCCTTGGTTTAAGATATTAAAAAGTTTGTTGCACTTAAGGCACGACATATAACTATCCATAGGGACAACTTTTTTCTTACATGTAACACCACAATATGCATACCACCATACATCCCGCATTTGTATTTAAACTATTGAAGTTGTAATCAAATAAGATTCACCTTGAAAAGCAATAAAAAGACAATACCAGTTTAAAATAAAAAGTATCACTGTCACTATAGAAATTAAACTATAATTATTAACAATAAGATATAATACAAATTGGTAACCTTACTGGTAGTAGATTGACAAAGTTGTTTCATCTCAAGAATTATTTATTTGATCTTGGAAGATTTGATCGACTTAACAACTCATGACTTTTGTTCAAATCTTCAATTTATTACAATCTTGCTAAAACAATTTTTTAAAAAAAAAATTTAAAAATCTCCAATTGCTTTGAAAAAAATATAACAATAATAAACCAAAATCAAATAATAAAAATGGCATAAAAGACTCACATCAAACCTAGCTTAAATTGAACTATTTCATAAATAGTGTTGTCCATGTAAATTTTATTTGACTTTGAAAAAGAAAATGATGCCATATCAGAAAAAAATTATTAAATTTTAACAAACCTAGATAGACTATTAAAAATCATATAAATAACTATAACTACCAGAGATTAATTTCACAATTTTTTACACATTGACTAACCTTAAAAACTCTTAGCAATCAAAGAAGTAAGTATAACAATTTGAGGTTTATTTCCCAAAGCTAAATGCTTCTCTTCAAATTCAGAAACAAACTTGTCCCACAAAATAAAGATTGTAAACCTTCACTGAAAAATGATTAAATAAAATTTATTTTTTAAAATAAATAATCCCTTTTATAACATTGCAAATATAAAAAAATATTAAAACAAAAACAATATCTTAAATCTTGAAGGCATAATACCATATATTTTATGGACTTGTTATCAATAGTTTGATGATGAGATAAACCTATGCCAATAACAACAAAAATAATATCTAGTGAAAAATTAAATTAAAAATTATTTTAAAGAAGAAAACGAAAACACAAAATTTCATAATAAATTACAAAAAAGTAACATGGTAAACATTTAATTGAATGTTCAACAAAATGGTTTTAAGTTACAAATTTAGAAAGAGCAACAGAAAGAAATCTTAGCTTGATACCATGTTAAACATCTAACTTAAAACCAAGTGATTATAAGTGGAGGGGCTGAACCTGAATATCAGATTATAGAAAATTAGATATCCATTAAATGTAGGATAACACCACTTTAATAGAAATCAAAAGTCATAAATCTATAAAAACTAAAAATTTTAATAAATTTTAACAAATAAGTGTTTTAAAGAAAATAAATAGAAGAAAATCAAAAGTAAAAAATCTATAAAAATACAAGCATGAAATACTCTTAATAAAAACAAGATAAAAAAATTATAAGTTACAAGAAAATCAATAGTAAAAAACATTAATATTAGAAAACTAAAAGTTTCAATAAATTTTAACAAATAATGATTTTAAAGAATATAAATAGAAAAAAAATCAAAGGCAATAAATCCATAAAAAAGTTAGACAATCCAAAGTCCATTTTGATGAAAATCATAAATCACAAGAAAATCAATAGTCAAAGACATTAATATTAGAAAACTAAAAATTTTAATAAATTTTAACAAAAAGTGATTTCAAAGAACATAAATAGAAGAAAATCAAAAGTACAAAAATCCATAAAAAATTAGATAACCAAAGTCTATTGTGTTTAATGTGATAAAAGTAAGAGATATGGGTTTAAAATTTATGTAAAAGGACTTGGCATTTATTACAAAATATTTGAATTATATATATAAAATATGATATATGATTTTGATATTATTAACATTTTTGTTAATTAATTATTTAAAATGTTGTACTTGTGTATTTGATTTAATGATAAAATACAAGGATCTATGTTCAAGGAAGATATTTTAATCCTTTACCCCTAATAGTCATATTTTATAAAAGAAAATTTTTATGTTCATCATCATTTTTCCTAATAAGATTAAATATGTATTTATAACATTCATATCCATAAAATTTATGAATATATTAATGAACATGTCAGATATATTTATTAATTTGAGTTGTAACTAAAAATTTTATTTTAACATATAAATGAAAGAATTAAAATGTAATAAATTGCTTTAAATATCATAAATAAATGTTATTATGATTATAATAATTATTTAGTTCATTTTATGATAAGTTACTATCATAACATATAAATCTGTAAATCTATTGCTAGATTTAACTTTAAGGAGTAGCCACTAATTTTTTTTTAATCTAAGTGTGATTGGTCACCTAATTAAATCTATCCTATTTTAAAGAGAAGTCTCAAATTTGACTTAGGCATCTTTAAAAGGTAGATTCATATCTACTATAGATATCGAATTTTATCCGGGTCTATTGAAGCTTTAAATCACGTTTTTGGTTTTTTATTTATTAATATTAAAATTATTAATAATTATAAAAGAAAAAATAATAATAGAAAAAAATTAATAATAAAATATTAATATTGGTTTAATAGTGTTAAAAAAAAAGAAGAACATAACAAAAAAGGGGGCGGGGGGGCTAATGCCTAAGTGCAGTGCATGGCACCACTAGCACCAACCACCCCCTATAGCCACCCCTACGGCCTACCCTAACCATACCTCTAGTCACTCTTGCAGCCACCAGACTAACCATTTCTATAGCTCCTACAGCCATCTTTTACTCTATCCACTATCCCAAACATAGACCCAGCAATCCCTAGCTTTTATACCTAGAAACCTAAGCTCTCACGCTCAGAAACCTCAAGCCATTCCATACCTAGAAATCTAAACTCTCAACCCACCAAAAAAACCAAAAAAAAAAAAAACAAAAAAAAAACTCGAAATAAAAAAAACACAATCTTTCCCATAGGGAAGAACCATTAGCACCAAAGAGCTACCTAAAAAAAAAAAGAAAAAAAGTCATCAGTTTTGGTTTTATTAAAAAAAAGAGACTGAAAACTTCAAGCCCTTATTTGCTTTTATCGGAGCTGATCCTGGTGAAAAGGAGATTAGATTTGAAAAGAGGACATTGAGAAGAATTTCTTGGAGCATTTTGGCATTTTTTTTGCCATCGGTGACCACTGATAGCGACTGTTGGCAATGACCTCAGGTGGCGGTTGGTGCGAGATAGAGAGATT